ACTATATCATAGTCCCAAGTCGCTTTTTTTTTCTACTGTAGGATTAGCTTGTGTGCACACTTCACATTTGTCTTTAAACAATTTATGACAATGTCAAATCAATCCTAACTTAATCAAAGATGTAATAGAAACATGGTTAACGAATCATAATCTACCATGCCACACATTACAAGAAGTCACAATATAAGCAAAAGACTTATTTATGCCATTAATATCAAATTTGAACTTCCCATTACAAGAGTAACCCTTACCAATAAATACATCATTTTTTTGTCAAAATAAGTTTGTCAGACCCAATGACCATTTTAAAGCCCTTCTTATTCAAGATATATCACGAAGCATGGTTTCTTCTCATATCAGGCATGTAATACACATTTTTTAAAGTAAGAACCTTGCATGAACCATAGTTAACCAATCAAATAGTCTAAGGAAAAAATTAGGTAAAAAATACGGATCAGCAAAAAATAAGGTAAGTTATAGAATTGTGAATATTTCATATGTGGTTAAAAAAAAATAGTGAAAAATCAGAAATATAAAGATGACAATATAGGATTATGATTTGTAGCTATTGTACACATATATTAGAGCCATTAAAGAAAATTTTATAGCCTTACTAGTGCCATTAAAGTAATACCTGATAATTTGTTGTTGAAACTTTTTATAAATCCAGTAATAATGCTTATTTTGTTGTCACAAATGTTGTCACAACACAAAGCATATCGTAGATTTATTGAGAGCATAAAATGAAATAACAACAATACTAACACAAGAATTAACTAGAATATAACAAGAACTGTGAACCAAGGTATAGGATTATTTTTCAAAGAGAAATAAAAAACGCCCTTAATATAGGATTGCAATTAATTAAAAGAAAGTGCAAAGACCCAAATATGTAAAATAGTGGTCCATCCAAAATGTTATGTTGTATATACCAATAAAATATAAAATTAATCAGACGTCTCTATGCATTAAAAAAGCAACAAATTGCTTAAGCAAATTCAAATCTCACACTAAATTTCTAGCTACCTAAATCTTTAGTATCATAGAATTTCTCTCTTGCTCTTTATAAAGAAGTTATGGGTCTAAAGAATAAAAAAAATATTTTTCATTGGGTTGCTCTTCTTCTAATTCTACCTGTTACTTTCAAATATAAGATTGTTTCAATTATTTTTTGGGGGGAATATATTGCTTGCATTATTTCGTACACATTTTTACGCAAACTCATTCGTGAAAGTTTTTAGGGAATTTTTTTAAAACAAGAATCTTAATTTACTGCCACTATTAATATACTTATCTTTATGCCAAAAATAATAATAATAATATTTTAATGAAGAAATAAATTCGGAAGAAGTTTTTTTAAAAAATATTTTTAAAAAAAAATATAAAATACGGATGTATATTGGTTTCATTAAAACAACATGATTTTTTGAAAATATTTGGAAAAAAAAAATTGGAGTTCTTAACAGACTTCAAAAACTCAGAGATTTTTTAAAAAATTTGTGTTTAAACGGAGACTTGCTAACTATTACCCAAACTAAAGTTTATTTCTACCTTACCCTTACAAAGCATTTTAGTCATGGCCTAAGTACCAAGTTGAACTTAATTTTCACCATCCACTGGTTCAAAGGTCTTACACAAACTTCTATTGTTAGACACAATGTTGTGAGATTCGCTTCAGAGTCTTCTTCGATTTGGTGAGAAAAATGAAGCAAATTTGGTGCTTCGATCAACTTAGAGGAAGACTTCAAACTTTTTTTAATTTAATATAAATAAATTAAATATTTATACATAAAAACATATAAAAATAATGATAAATTTTAAAATAAAAATTTTAAAATAAAAATTTTAAAATAAAAATTTTAAAATAAAAATTTCAAAAAAATAATGAAAAAAATACTTTATCACAAATCGGCCCGAAAAAGACCTGAAGCAGCCTGAATCTGACTGAAGCGACATCATTAGGCTTCTATGCGCTTCGGTCTAGGCCTAAAATCCAAAGGCTTCGGCTAAAGCGAAGCGAATTTGACAACACTGATTAGACACATGAATGATAACACCAGTATCAACCCACCATCCATCATCTTTATTGATCACGTTTATTTATGTTACCATTGCTACAAAATGCTCATCAATGGCCATGTTCACTTGGTTTCTCATTGTCGCCATTCTCTCAAATAATGTCACGATTTTCCACATACAAAATAGGAAGCTTTTCTTTTATTTTTGTTGCCATTAGACTTTTAGTCATTAGAATTATCATTATGGACCTTAGGAAAGAAAAGCTTCTTATTATTTTGACCACTTGATTTTTGGTCAACAAGATTTTCCTTAGTTTGAAATTATGTATTTTCATCTTTCTTTTACCGAAGTCTATTATCTTCTTTAATTCGAAGAGATCCTTGAAGGTGAATCAAATCAATATCCACTTTCTTATGCTTCATTTTCTTTGATACTATTTCCAAGATGGGAGTAGTTTGTGAATTATAATGCCTACTAGAAAATATTCATCTAATTGAATTTCATATAAGTTCATTACTACGAACTCTTTTTCATATATTTGAGGAAGAATTGGTTTGTATTCAATGAATTTGAAGTCTAGAAAACTAAAAATAAGAAATCGTTTTTTGCCAAACGCTTCTATGAGATATTTCGTTTCAAAAAGCTTCCATAGTTCTCTCGTCGTGGCGACTGATGCATACATGTCATATATGGGATCCACCAAAGCGTTGAGGATACAACCTTTGTAAATGTAGTCATCCTCCATTTACTTCTTATAGCCCTGAGTTTGCTCCTCGGTAAAATCATTAGATGGCTACGGTGCATGCATAGATTCAGTAACTATGTAAACTATTATGAGAGTAGTTAACAGAAAAATAACATTTTGTTGCCATCTTTTGAAGTTTATGCCTAGCACTCTAGCCTTATGAAATCGTGGTTCATGACCTTTAAGAAAGTCATGGCAGTCTATTTGTTTTCACCCATGAGATATCATCTTGAATAATTGGAAATCAATTGGGTGAAAAAATGGGACAAAAAAAAAATGAGTTAGGTGAAAACCCTGTTGTTTTAGGGCATACATAGTGCTTTCTCAAGATGATATTTAGCCCCTTTTGATATTGTAACTGATATGCATAAGGAATGGCAACTCGTACACCCAAGTTTGAAACCCACTGTGTAGAGCATCAAAGTTTTGTATTTTCGAGTAAAGAGTGAGGGACGAGTGCTTAAGAATACTCCATGAAAAATCACTGAGAATATGAAGTACTGTGTGAGAAAATGTCTTAGAAGAGAGTATGGTTTGTATGGAAAAAAAAAAGACATCTTTTATAGAGCTCCAAGAGACGTCACCCGGCTCTAGATCCAAGTGGAATTTAAAAAAGTTGACATGTAGAACCTAAATGGGTTGGGTCTGGATCGACTCAAACCTGACTCATTGCCACCCTAAGAAAGAGAAGTCTTTAATTTTCGATAAGAGAGCGTGGAGAGAGATAGTAGACTTGAGAAAGAGAGGAAGAGGAAGAGGGGGAAGGGGGGAACTTTAATTATGTGAGAGAGAGGGAGAGAGTATTCCTTAATCAGAAAGACAAGTCATATTAGCAGGGTGATTAGGAGAGACGTTCTAAACTCAAAAACTAACCATGCCATGCGGTGCAAATTTACCCTCAAAACGGACCAGCAATGGTCCCACATCAACACCATCCAGTGGGCCCACACATTCTTCAAATTCCCAAATCCATGGCCGAGGAGTAAGAGAAGATGGTCCAACACTCCAACTTAGAAGTTTGAAGCCCCTCGGCAATTCCCTCCCTTTCACATTATCTACTCTCTCTCTCGCAAGTTGATGCAATTCCCTCTCTCCCAATTATCCAAACTCTCTCTAATTTTTTTCCTATTTCTGCGACTTTTCTCTCTCTCCCAATTATCCAAACTCTCTTTAATTTTTTTCCTATTTTTTCGACTTTTCTCTCTCGGCATTAATACCTTCCTGTTTCTTTCTCATATAAGGAGGGTGAGGCTCTAAATAATCAAATTAAGACGACTCAAAAATTTATTAGAGGAGGTTATTTGGATGCTCAAAACTCCTCAAATCAATCATCTCATTCGCAAGATGCATGAACATGAGAAAAAATAGATTTTAAATCTAGAAAACAATGCATCTTGTAATGCATTTTTTAAACGGTTAATTTTTAAGTGTTCAACGATATGCTTGATCTATACTATTTTTAAAGATTTAAAAATTTATAATTAGATATGAAATCAAATTTTCAAGACATCACAAAAATTTCTATTACTAAAACATCTTACAATACTATTTGAAGGTGCGCCCCGCCCTAAGGCCTCGGCCTCGTACAAATTCTCTCTCTTCTAAACATTTTTGCGGTAAATCAATAGAGTTGGTCCCACTTTCTTTCTAAATGGTTACAGTCTTACAGCCAATCTTTTTCTGTGAAATTGCATCCCATCTTTTGCAAACCCTATCTCTCTATCTACTACCCATCCCTTTCCACACTTTCTTCAACATATTTAAACTCTCTCTCTCTCTCTCAAACTGGTCCAATGCCTTTTAAACAATAAAATAAAGGCAGGGACAACCTTTCTCTTTCTCCTGTCTCTGTCTTGATGAGGAATTTCCAGCCCAACTTCTTTAGAAATAAAAAATCAACACCAGCTGCTCTCAATCTTCTCCAACGAAAAGCCAAGCCAAAGATGAGAACACCCTAAGGGCACTTCCAGACCCTCCTCATCATCCATGAAAGATACTGCTCTTCCATCCTTCCTATCTCCCTTCCCTTTATATACACACCCACTGTGTTCTCACAAACTCATACCCCTCTTATCTCTTCTCCTCTGCTTCTCTTCTTTCTTCCTCTTCTCTCAACTCTCTTCCCTATACCTACCACATCCAGCCACCAATTAACAGAAATACTAGCACCTTCTCTCTATAGTCTTCCCCCCCAACTTCTTCTTTCCTCTCTTCTAATACCTTATCTCTAGCCGCCATGAATTGTTTAGAGTATTATGCTCAGACCAACTTTGATGCCTTTGAAACCGAGTACCGCCCTAGTTATTATTTTTCGGAACATGGCATGGACATGAGCTTTTTGATCAACAATTACCACGAATACTCAGATTCGACCATGGAAGATTCATGTGATACCTCAACAAAATACATTTCAGGCCTTTCCTCTGATAACCATGGATTTCTGCAGTCCATAGCAGTCCCCCTCAATCGCCATGAATTCTCTGAATCAGCCATGGAAGACTCATTCAACAGCCCAACTGCGTACCCCTCAAACCAGTATTCCAATGGATACCTTGAAAACCAGTACAATGATAACCATGTATTTCAGAGCTTTATAACACCTTTTCCTGATTACCCCAATTCCCCTATAGAAATTGGGTACCCAGAATCCAATACCAATTTCTCCGAAACAGAGATTTCTGGTAGTGGGCTCTCAGAATCTGGCAAAGTTTCCAGTATTTCGCTCCTGAAAACGAGTGAAGTTTCTAGTAATGGGTTCTCACAATCCGGAGAATTTTCGGATCGGGTGTTCCTCAACACCACTGAAAATTCCAATAATGGCTTATCAGAATCCAACAAAATTCAGGTTTTCCCTGATTCTGAGAAGCAAATGATCCTACCATGGGAGGCTGAAGAAGAAGCCCAAGATCTGCAATTGAGCCTTCTTCACCTACTGAAAGCCCTAGGAGAAGCAATGGAGAAGGGTTCAAGGGACCTAGCCGATGTGATCATATCTCGAATAGCAGAGAAGGTCTCACCAGTGGGCTCGACTATGGAACGAGTGTGTTTCAATATGGTTCGAACCCTTGAACCCACTTGGGCCCAGAAACAAACAGACTACTTGGTTCGAGAGGCTCAAAAGAATTATATGGTGGCCCTTAGAGCCTTTTATGAGATCTTCCCTTATGGGCGATTCGCTCACTTTGCAGCGAACCAAGCCATTATCGAATCCATCCCTCAATGGGCTGAAAGGGTTCATATAGTGGACTTTGACATCGGTGATGGCCTTCAATGGCCTCCACTTTTGCAGGGGCTTGCGCACAGTTCGAAGGTTCGGGCTGTGCATATAACAGCAGTGAGGACGGAAGGAGAGCGGTTTAGAGAGACAAAGAGAAGGCTTTGTGAGTGGGCTGAGGCAGTGAGGGTGCAGTTGTGCGTGGAAGAGACGAGCATGGTGGAGGTGAAGGAGTTGTTCATGGAAGAGAGGGCTGGTGAATGGGTTGTGGTAAACTATATGGTGGGGTTGCCCCATATGGGGAGCAGACGGGCCTTGGAAAAGGCTCATGGGCTTTTGCAGGCGTGTGGGCATGTTGGGCTTGTGACAATGGGAAGAGGGTGTGTAGGAGAGGGTGGGTTTGATGGATGCCTATTGGGCCTACATGGGCTTTTAGAGTCCATGGAGTGGCAGCTACCAAAGCAAGGGCTTGCAAGGACAGTTTTTGAAAGCCTGTTTTTTGGAAATATTGGGCCCATCAGGCCTGAGTCGGACTTCGAGTTCAGTGGTTTGATAGGTGTGGGGTTGAGTGAGGGAAGTGTGGTGGAGGCCAGGGAGTTGGTGAGAGCCTGTGAGGGGAGCTATGGGGTAGAAGTGGTTGGGGAGAGACGGAACGAGATGGTTCTGAAGTGGCGAGGGACTCCCCTCGTTCGGGTCTCGGCTTGGAGGTAGAGAAAGGGAAACAGAGTTATGTGATTCTAGAGTGTTCTGTAAATGGATCTACACAGTTTTTTATAATTGAAAAATAGAAAAAACTGTAAATAGCTGCAAGAAGTAATGAGATCAAATACCACATATTCTTGTTAACTGCACTTTGTGCAACATACCATTTTCAAGAAGAAATGAGATCAAATACCATTCATATTCCTCCCTCTCCTATGAATACTGCGTAAGTTTCAACAAGGCTGCAAACCTCCTGCCGTTTCTTAGCATGATGAGCTACTCAATGATGGAGGAATCCTTTCATGAAACATGACAGCCCTCACATGAAACTTAGCCATCCCTTTGTCTCACAAAACCTATCATTGATCTACATCTCCAATGCATCTAACATGAAAATCAATGATAGCTCTACAACATACGTTTTTAATTTTAAGCTTACTATTTGCCAGGACCATATAACATGAAAATCAATGCACCATTAATTAGCCTGTATCATGCAATTTTTGCCTAAAAACAGTTTTTATCATGCAATTTCTGCCTAAAAACAAACACATTCTTGGATGCCTCAGAGGTTTTATCCCCTGTTCATCTGAATTCATATCCCATTTATCTGCCAATCAAGATGTTAGCCCCAATTTTTGAGATCCCATTTTTATCAATTTGTATGACTGCTGCATATGAAACAGCAGGAGGCATGATCATAATAAGAAAAAGGGGAAATGGACTATAGTCTAGTGGACCATGGAAACATAGTCCCTCCACGTCATCACCATCACTGATGATGGACGGTGATTGATAGAGCACAAAACGTGATCCATTGGATTACAAAGCACTTTTTGATTATGTCGGATGAAGTTTCTATAGGGCCTAGGCTTTATGAAACTAAATAAAGCATTACATCAAATATGTGTCCAGAAAACACATTTGACAATAGAAATCTCCATGATGGATCTAAAATTAATTTCTAATACAAAAAATAGGATTTGAAACTCAAAAAAAAGTATAGATCTTGCGGATTTATGAACACTTATTTTTATTGTGAAATGGACGGTCTAAATAATTTATTACAATATATACAATTTTTAGAGCTTAAAATCCTAATTATTTTTCAGAACCACAATGCTCATGCTGAGATGATTGATGTAAAGTTTTTTCAATGTTTGAATTGTAATTTTCGATAAGTTATGAAATAAGCTTTACTTATTTTGATAGAGCTGCAGCCCTATCAAACAATTTTCCTTCAAATTATTGAAGCTAAGATTGTACAATCATCCAATGGCCCAAAAAGAGTTTTAAATTTTATTTTTTATTTTTTAAAATGATAATTATTTCAAATTTGGGGTATAGATGTATTTTAATATAGCTTAACAAGTAAAACTATAAAAAATATTTTCAACAAAAAATTGGCAAAAATGCCCTTGAAATAATTTAAGGTATTTTGATCAACTGTATTTGTTTAAAATATTTACTTATTATTTTTATTTAATATGCCATATTAAAATACAAATATTTTCTAAATATGAAATAAATATCACTTTTAAATAAAAATAAAACTCAATTATAGCCACCCATCCACATGATGTAGATAGGAGACTTTCCCAAAAGAATATAGAAATATAAATGGAAAGAGAATAAAACAAACAACCTCTATAAAAACTATGATGTACTATTATTATAGCATTAAAAAAAAAAAATGTTAGTAACTTAAAAATCAGTAAAAATAGAACTCAAAATGTCATATTAAAAAATACAATATTGTGGTTACCCACCCCTAATTGGCTTAGACCGGCCCACAATATTATGTCACAATCCTTGGTAGTGTACCCTATAAAAGTCACCGGCCAATGTGACCCAATATTTGCAAGTTTTTATAGCAATTATGTTATAGATTTCTTCAAAATGAAATGATTCGTTGTCCCATGCGAGCATATACTATGCATTTGCTCTTTGGGATAAAAGCTCCTTATATTTCTTGAAACCTAAATTTTGGGGATCTAACCTCTATAGAAAATATTGTGCCCCAATAAGATAACCGTAGATTGAACAAGAACCGTCAAGAACCACCTCATTTTTTGAATGGCAAGATCGAGGTGTTTAAGAACTCATAACTACAATTTTTTTCTTGAAAATCATCAATGTTTTAAAAGACGACTTGGCCTACTACCCTACCAAATGCCCTAGCCGAGTACTCACCCGAGTCCGAGATGCTCAGACCCAAGCAGGGCCGAGTACTTTAGCAATGAACAAGATTATAAATATATATCTATATATATAAATCTAAAAATAAAAAAGTATATTCAAACTAAATTTAAATAAACTCAACTAATTGTGATTAGAAAAATAGCGAAAAAATAAATTTTCAAAAATGAGTTTGTGACTAAGGGTATTTTTAGAAAAATTTAAAAAAATATATATATAAAATAAGTATTTATAACCAAAATACTTTCAAATCTTTATCAAAATTATAGAAAATATAAATAAAACATATTATTTTTTAGGATTTTTAATATTTTTTTAAAATCCCCAAGTGAGACTTCGGGCTACTAGGGCTCAGCCATACCGGAACCCGAGTAATACCCGACCCAATTTTCCAACACTGAAAATCATCATCAATGATCTGGGGATCCCCAAATTTCATATTAAAAAAAAAAATCCTCCTACCTCTTTTCCCAGGGCAGTAGTTGTACGCACTGAAGTCCAAAGACAACGATAAGAATTGTTACAATAAATGCATTTTAAAAAAAGTGCCATCTTTAATTGATAACTAAATTCAATAATAATGTTCGAAAACCATTATTTCCATTTTGAGTTTTTATGTTTCTTCAGTACAATGAGATAACAATTATTACAACCATCTCACAAAATTCGAGATTTTAAAAAATCTAATAACTTTGGATGTATCACAAAGTTCAAGAAAAAAAATTTAACTTTGACCTTGGTCAAGAAAAGAAATGCAGCCACCAAATTTCACATCTATTGGTCATGATTAATTGTGACCACCTTATAATAAATGGTCTCATTATATTCTTCTCCTTTTTTGAACATAAACTCTATTGTATATTTATAATTTTCATTAAAACACATCATTATTTCCATTTTGACAATAAAAACCAATTTTACTGATTTTTACCATAAACAACATGGTTCATCAGATAGCACATATATTGTACCCCGTAGGGAGGATTTTAAAGAGCACATATATCATACTCCCCAGGGAGGATTTTTTTCAATCTGAAATTTTATGAACCACCTAATAATCACTAGGTGATCATTCTCAAGAAAAAAAAAATTGATATTTGAGTTTTCTAACGGCTATATCTCACCATCTAAAAATTGGATGATCTCTATTAAATCTTGAGACATTAATTCTTTTCAATGTGCAGGATGCTATTAAGAAATTTGTTTTAATGAGGTTAATCTACGGGTTTAATAGGTTACATCCCTAAAATTTGAGGTCCTAACATAAATTCTAAGTGGGCTTTTACCTGGCGGATTAAATAAATAGTATACTCCCACAGGAGTACAAATCCTTTTGGCTTCATTGAAGTACAGAGTTTATGTTGAAAGACCATTTCTTCTTCCTTTTGATGTTGAAATTTGAAGCCAACATAAACTCAGTTGTATCTTTATCTTTTTCATTAAAAAGATCACCTTTAACATCAATTCCATCCAACATTTATCCCACATCACACATAAGAAAGTTAGATTTTAAAATAAGTATAATTTTCTATTGGTTTATAATTATCCATTTCAAAACCCTGATAAATCGGCAGATACTGCGCTCCCAGCCAATCAACACCTTTACACCAGTGCTTGAAACATTGATTTGAAGTAAAGTATATGTAGGCCAAAGTTATTAAAACCAATACCCACCACTGCAATCATGGTTGGATATTGCATTGCCATTATTAATTTCATCGATCAGTCATCCGCAAAGTCAGATTGCTGTCATCTTGCAGTCAGACCTCACATATTCCTCAAAAATTTTCATTGATCAGCAAGCCTTGACGTCCTCCTGGAACCATTCATTTTGTGGTACACCATCTCCCTTCGGCGAACTCTTTGTAAGCACACCCAAGACTCTCATCCTCTTCAACTCTTTGGCTACAGATACAGAATGACCATTAGAAGCCACATCCATATATTTGTTAACCAACTCACACTATTACCAGATCGGGTAATCAACTAAAGATACATGTTTCTTTCCGAAACTTTTGGAAGACAGCTCAAAAACTGAATAAATTATTGTAGTTAATTAGTGACAGGCTAAAATTTTTCTAAAACTGGTTTTTAAGGTTCCAAGCATACATGCACATATAAGTAAGACCTGCTATAACTTGCTTCTTACCTTCTTCTAAGGCCAAACATATTGCCTTAGCTTCAAGCTCCACAGCCCGCCAGCTCCGAGCAGCAGGTGGTAAGGACCAAAGCACTGACAGACCAAATAAAACAGGAAAAGAGTCCTTATCATAATTTAAGAAAAATTGATTAATAAGAAACAAAGAAAATAAAAAGACAAGGCAAGCATGAAAAGATGGACGGTAGTGTGAAGTGTGAACTTACTTCTATCTAACTCGATATCAGGCTCATCTAACTTCTTCAACAACGATTGCAAGCGGTCAAAACGGCTCTGCTGGGGTGGAAGATCTTCTTTCTTGGGATTTGAGACCTCACTATTGTTAGAGGACAGAGCCAAGAACTTACCCCAATCTGAATTGCGAGAATCAGCAACTTTGTCAAGTGAGCCAGAGGAGACTGCCCCAAGAGATGGCTGATAAGGAGAGAAGTGTGGCCGACTTGTTATGAGGGGGCTTGCATCTTGCTTCCTCTTCTTGTCCAACTTAGGACACTCTCCCCCTGTATTTTTCAGAGGAAACCCTATGTTTTCTGAGTTCTCCTTCAGGTTCTTTTCTTCAAAGACAAGCATTGGTTGACGGCGATGTTCAACATGGGAGTCTATTATGTTGTGATTGTCATCCTTCGGATTCAATGCTCGAGATCTCGAACTGGGTATAACATGATGTTGCTGTAGAATCGATTTTTCAGGCTTAATCCAAGAGTGACAAGGAACATTTTCCACCGCTTTTGAGATGTTTCTTAACTCATGGGGGGTTGTTGCTAGAGAAAGACATGGTACGGATGCCTTTGATTCGAGAGTTTGAACTAAGGCAGCAGAAGAGCTTGACTTTTGGAGGAAAGGCAAGGGGGGCTTAGGAATATTACCATGCATGGCCTCAATTCCATTCCCGGTGGGATTACCCATGAGCTGCATCAAATCATAAGAACACATCAATCCAAGCTCACATTTTTGGTCCTAACAGAAAAAGAAAATATGGACACATGGAGGTAATGAAGTCAAATTGTTGTGTTTCTTCAGAGACATTGTGATAATATAAATGGCACGTACTTTAGACTCTTGAAATACTTTAGGGTCATCGATACCAAATGTCTCTATTCAAGACCAACCCATTCCATATATAACTCACCTATTTTAAACCTGGTCAGCATCCAAACATTCTCTGGAGAGTAAAAGTGCCATAATGATATGTCAGCATTGTTTACAAATCCTTTGCGGTACTTGCAGAGTAAGTATTACATTTAACCTTTAAAATCAAACTTCCATAAATCCATACTACCTTCCAATTGTCTTGAACTGACTTCTCAGTGATATAAAAAAAAAAAAAAATTGTCAAGGCCCTTGATTTCCCTATAGAAGATTGTAACCCTCCATTTTGCCCCCCTTGCTATCAATTATCCGTCTTTCTATGTGAAGAAAACCCCACCATAATTTGTTGTTCTCTCTCCCAAATATGAAGTCTACCTAAATTTTCTATCAAACATAACCAACGCTTCCACAACAAAGGGACATATGACCCGAATATCGCTTTCTCTCTTTTGTGTCCATGCAAGGGCATGGGCTTTCTATTAGTACCCAACATGGCAGAAAACCACGAAACAATGTAAAGAAATATCTTAACATCTATGAGCTTCTCACATGTGAAGGATTCCGAATAAAAGTCATTTGATTCGAATACGAGCACACTTCAACAGAAGATTCAAATTATGAACTTACTACATGTGAAGAATTACTAAAGAAAGACTAGAGTCTGAATTATTCGTGCCCTAGGCATAGGGAAGCAAGAAGCACCCTTCTGCTATTGCATTGATCAGTGAACCTAATTCTCTAGCAAGCTCTTTTAAATCTTTAAAAAAAAAAAATATGGAGCCATCAAAAGCCATATCTTTAAAACTAAACCTGATTAAAGGAACTAGACCCAGAAACCATCTCAGGTGTTCATTTCTAAATGCAGTTGAACCATAAAACTCAAAATGAACAATTCATTCACATTCGTTACAGTGGACAGTGTTAGAAAACAAGGACTAGAGACTTACTATGCTCCTGAACCTGAGCAGGGTCTAAAAGAATCGACTAGTACGAACAAAAATAACAATAAAATATTGAAAACAAGTCATACTTGGCCAGTTCCAGACTTGGCAACCTACCAAGTCTGAGTAAGTTGGGCAAGTCTAAGTTAGACTCACTAAGTTTTCCCTGAGTATTGACATCTTAAAGATATCCATTTGTTTTTTTCTTCTTAATATTTGAAAGATATCCATTTCTTGTGCAACTTCCGGCCATATCCCGCGGAAAAAAAAAGCTTGTAATATTTCAATAAAACTTAATAGAAGAACTTAGAGAGTAGGAAAACCTTGAATTGGCCAAAATCAGTAACTCGTAATAGTTACTTATTTTGAAATTTTGACATTATGACCTATGCATATTAATTGATCACCCTTTCCGTATATGAATCAGAATGGCATGAGGGGCATTTTCCGATTTTACCCCTCCACCAAAAACCTGAATTTTCAAATAAATTTTTTTTTTTACAACATATTGGTATTTCAGTTTTCCTATTTTTAAAGAAACTACCATAGGTTCTAATACAATATTTAAAAATAATAATAATAATAAAATAAAATAAATAAATATGTTGGAGTTTGTAACACCATGTCACAAATTGTAAATTATTGAACTTCTACAAAAGTAATATTTTGAAATAGCATTTAAAAAATAAAAATAAATGGTAGAGCAGCCAACTCAGAAAGCACCCCTTCTACAAGTTCACACGTGGGAACCAAATATAAGAGCATCTTTTTTTAGTACAAGAAAGTATATTCAATAGGTATGTAAAGTAATACAAATACAAATTGCTGTACAAAATATACAGTGCACAAACCTGGAATGAGCCTTTCCAAAAGAGAATGCTCAGCCTCACAATATGACTTAGCAAGCAAAGAGAAGCAAAATTACAGATGACTTTGTACTTCAGGATGGATTGAGCATGCATGAAAGATTAGAAGACCCTTTCCTAAATAACTGATAAGGTGCTGTTGTTTAGAAACAAATTTTGGAAAAAAAATGTGGAGATGGTGAATTTGAGAAAATAAATAAAGACCCATGTCAACACTAACCCCTCTCTGTATGCAGCAAAATTAAGGAAGGCAGTTATTTGGAATAACCAAAAACAGGTTTTTAATAAGACTTGCAGGAGTTCAGGGGGTGTTGTCATATTAAAGCGGAGCCAAAAAGTCCGCCACCGCGAACAGTGGAGCAGACTGAGCTGGACCATTTTTCACTCCTAAATGGGTGGAGAAAGAAAAGTGCCACGTTCCCATAATGGTGGCCTGTCCAAACGGGGAACTAATTTATGATGTCCTCCGTTCATGCAGTTCAAACAACAGTGGAATCCAACAAATCGAAATAGCAGCCACTATTTCGATTCAACCTCTCCTTATGTCTTAAACATTGTCATTGTCAGTATACTACTATATTTATTATCAAACATTTTTACTCAAAAAGTACAATCATTAGTTCCTCTAAATACAGCATCGAAGTTAGAGCTATTTATGAAATGCACCTTCCAAGATATAAGTTTGTAAGGTATATACCTGGGGTTGCAACTCATCTAAGAAATGTGAATTTAAGCCATCTTATCATGTTCTTGAAGCTAATAAAGATAGTGTTGCACATGTCAAAGAATGGTTACTCTTTGAGTACGTCTATTTGATAACCACAGGGAATCAGTCCATCTACAGAACCATCCAAGAAGATACTGCTCAAGTTTATGAATGTCAATTTTGATGGGGAACCATGGGGTTTCACCCATTTACTCTTTAGAATTGTATTCACTGACTTAAACCAATCTGTCTTAATGCCTGAATTTGCCATCTGTAAACTCATAGGAGTAAACCAACTCATGAAACAATAGGGCATCAAGGAATACAGACACAAGAGGAAACCTTCCCACTAGCCAAATCCTTCGACTTGTTTAGGGAAAGATAAATATATCAAGATTAAGAAAACATAAATTTAAAAATATAACTATCAGAAATTAGCCTACTAACCGTCTGTAAATGGAAGTTATGCATGAAATAATTACAGTAAAAGATAGGATGGCACACAGATTTGCTAAGAGGCATTCAATAATAAATAGATAGACGGAGTCATGAAATGAAACATTCTAAATTTCTTTCATTTTGATAGTTATAAGATGCACCAACTCCCTTCTGGTAAAAGATGCACCAAATCCCTTCTGTTAAATACATTTCTGTTTAATACATTGCATTAAAAAATTTCATTATCATGTCAACCATATTTCTACTTCATACATAATACTGAAAAGTCTAAATAAGAAGGATTCCAAGTATTAATATCGGGCTTAGAGTTACATTAAACATCAAGGGTAACACATGAGGGAGCAGAAACAGGAATCAATGAAAAGATAATCTTCTCCAAGAGTATAACAAATAAACACTAAAAAAAATCTATAATTTCATTCACATATTCCAGTTGAAAAGAACAAGATTCAATCATCCAGCTCTTTGTATAAACTAAAAATATTTCTTGACCATAAATATAATTGAAAAAGCTCCTTAATATCCTCGTCAGATTTTTACTTAAATGTCATTCCGAAAGTTACAATGGGCAATTCTTTTAACAGCTAGGTCAAATTCATATTTAAGATTCCCAATCAATGGAGCAGTAGAAACTCCATCGCAATCTCTAATTTCTGAGATCCAAATTCCATAGCAGCCGATGATTATGCAGCTCAGACTGTAAAGCATCCCTTTGATATCAAAATGGCCCAGTTCACTTAACACACTATGCTGCATAACATAGTAAAAAGCAAGAGAAAGGAAAACGAAAGGAAGAACAGTACCCACTGCCTAGAGTAACAGCTCTGACGATCCGATTACCAATAACACGGTAAGATAGCACTCCCTCCGAAGTCTAAATTTTTACAGGAAAATAATTAACACTGAACCAAAGGTTATAGACCAGGATAAAGTAAGCATGGAGCCAGTATAAATAATTAGTTTTATTCTTTAATTGTTTCCACTCAAAAATATATATATATATATAAAAGAACAAAAGATTAAACTTTCAGTAATAAAAGAGAATATAAAAAACCATTATTAAAAAGAGGAATTTTTAAATAAATCACAGAATATACAAACCCAATTGAAAACAAACCCCAAAACCCCAAAAATCAAAATAAGCTATTCAGTTCATGCAGATCTTAGTCATTCTGGAAAACAATTAGCAAGAGTTAATCCACCCCCTATGGAATTAAAAAAAAATCACAAATAAGAAATATTATTCGCAAAATAAAATACCCAAAAAGGCAAGAAAACCAGTTCAGTAACAGTAGAACTTACAAAAGAAACTCCTGTACTCTGAGTAACTACTTGATCAGGCTCCAAGGAATCCACTTTCAGTAACCTATAATCTGTTCAATGAGACAGAAAAGATAGGAATAAAAAACATTAACTCTACTGAGAAAAAAAACCCACCTTGGTTTCTGCACATTCCATCAGAAAAGTACCTAAACAAAAAGAGAGAGAGGGAGAGAGAGGGAGAAGGAGAGAGACCTCTTCGACTGGGGAGCAATGGCACTGAGAAGCAAGTCTTAGAAACTGTAGGTTCCATGTATATAAGATGAAGGAGAAGAAGGAGGAGGCGCCATTATGAATTGATAAAAAATAGTTGCTATAAAAGGAGCTAGAGCAAAGAGATGCCTCGAGATCCGCGCGCCATGACAGAGCAGAAACCAGAAGACGGGTTAGAGAGAGAAAGAGAAAGAGGGAGAGCACGCTTTAAGAGGGAGACCCAAACGGTCCTAAAGCATTTAAAGGGAGCCCCAAACCGAGTTATACCGCGGGGTCTCCTGAAGAGAGAGAGAGATAGAGAAAGAAGAGATAGAGAGATAGGAGAGAGAAAAGAAGAACTCAAAGTAGAGAGAGAGAGAACTGAAAGAAGAGAAAGTGGTCTAAATTCAAAACAGCCTCAATTTATCTCTCTAAATCCAAAATCCAAAATCCAAATGCTGAAAAAACTCTTTTTCTTTGGTGAAAGTTGGATTTACGCTTACGCCCCCAGTAAAATGTGACTACATGAGCAAGACAAGGCAAGTCCCTTGCTTTTCTTAAAATACCAAATAGGTACAAATAGGTACATATTCGAACACGTGACGAAGTTCCACTTTTTTTTGTTTTTGGAGCTTTCGAAATTGTTACCACTTGAAGAACTTTATTTTTTCTTTGGAAAAGTTTCCAAAATTCAACTTTCTTTCTTTTCTTGAAAAATCTTTCATTTTCGAAGTTGCATCCATTCTTTTCACTTCCATTGTTTTATGAATTAAGGGAAGGGTTTAAAATTTTTATAGAAAAATAATTCAAATTAAAAAGGGAAAAAAGTTTATATGATGTTTTTTTTTTGGGGATTGTATACAATTAGATCATTTACCTTTATAGGGAGATCACAATTACTTACAACCATCCGATATGAAATCAGATAGTTTGGGTATGTCATAACGTTCGAGAAAATTTCATTTGAATTTTGAGCTTGGCAATAAAATAAACGCAGCCACTCAATTTCACATCTAATAGTCAATATTAATTGTGATTATCTTGTACCAAAAGTAAATTGTCTCATTATATACTTTTCCCTTTGTTTTTGACAATATTAAGTATTTTTATTGAATGAGTGCTTGGAAAGCATCGATTTCATGTTTGGAATCATAGCATCAAAAGTCGACAAAAAATAAAGAGACACCATATTTAGCAGTCGATCTGCTTAATCATTGGCTTCACAAAAGATATGAGAGAATGAAACTCGAAGTCCAAACAATGAGCGAATATCCATGATTTTCAACAAAAAGACATGAATAATCCTAAGGGTTCGTTGCTCCAACCGGGACCACTCAATGTCGTTGCTCCAAGCAGCACCACTTAATCACATTGTGAGAGTCACTTTCAATACAAATTGCTCCCACAATGCCTTTATTGATAATAATTTCCAAACCGTGGAGTAGAGAAAAGTTTATATGATGTTGTAAATTTATATTGTAGAAAAAAAAAAATCTTTTGGAAAAGGTTGTTTTGATATTGAAAATTTTCTAATTAATCATCTCAACCTTGAAGTGTTCGAAGGTAAAAAAAAATATTTGAAAGTCTCAAAAACAGAACATCTTGTAATACATTACTTAGATGGTTCATTGTCAAGACTTCCATCTTTTTGTAGATTTGCTTGATTTATACTTTTTTTTTCAATTTTAAATTTCATAATTAGATGTGAATAAGAATTTCGGGTAATTATAGAAACTTCCGACAAAAAAATTACATCTTTCGACACGCCTTCTTTTTAATTGTTTAAAGTTGACACCTTATACAAAACATACCCTTACAAACAGTTACCATGCAAGCATAACATACCCTTACAAACAGTTACCATGCAAGCATTTTAGTTCTCAAAACAGAATGTTAGCAGTTCTATGGCAACTACGGAGTTGTCTGTCTACTCAAAGGCTTTCAATTATTGCATGTAAAGTTGTATGCCTTGCACCATACGTTGCAGTACTCTTTTCTTTTCTTTATCAGTCTAATTGAGCTATATTAGAAAAGGGAAAAGTTTATATGAGGATCTAAACAATCAAATTGTGGTGCACCTCAAAAATTTCACTAGAGAGATTGTTTTGATGCTCAAAAAACCTCAAATTAATCATCTCAACCTCAAGATGCATGGATGTGAAAAAAAAATGGATTTCGAGTTTTGAAAATAATACATTTTGTAATGCACTTTTGGACCGTCAATTTTCAAGAATTTTAAGTTTTCATAGATCTGCTAACTTTACATTATTTTCTGAAGCTTTAAATTTTATAATTAAAGATAAAAATATATTTTAAAGTAATTACAAAGATTTTTGGTATTAACCCACATTTATCAATACTATTTGAAGGTGTAATTTATTTTGATTGTTTAAAGCCTCGGCCTTATACAAACCACACCCTTTCTAAAATCCGGTGATCTAGATAGGGAATTGGTCTAATTCCCTTGGTATTGCCGAGTCTGTCAGATAATCGAGCGATCCAAACCTACTAAATTCCCCAATTTCCAGTCGTTACATTTTTTTTATTTTTTATTTTTTTATTTTTTTCTTTTTTTTTGACCGACTCCCCATTTAAGACCATATTAAAACACTGCCTATGACCAAACTATTTCCAATGATTATACGGGACGTGAAAGGTATTGTAAAAATGTTAAGGACAGGTGCATGTACTCATCTTCAAGGGGCATTGTCGTCTTTTCCATTCGATGGATGGTGTACAGTGGGGAGTGAGGCCAATTCAAAAAGCGCAGGGGAATCGTAGGGCGGCAGTTGCTCCGGGATAGAATCTGGGCCGTCAATGTGGAGCCCGCCATTCCCGCGCTAAATCAAACGGAGGTGCGAGTCGGTTTTAATAAAGCGCGGATCCGCCGTTCCCGAGAGAGAGGGTTGTGGACCCCACTGTTATTTTTTTAGGGTTTCACTTTTAAATTTGGTAGACACTTTGGGCCACCCATTTTTCCAGTAAATCCACCCGTCTAAGAGGAAAATAGCGTGACTGACAAGTCCAGTGTGACCTAGGCCCCACAAACTTTTGTTTAAAAACTTGCAAGTCAAATTTCACTATACGAGCGTCAGGAAAAATAACGCTGGTCGTCAAGATAATGCCTCTTGTCCATTGCTTATGTAGCTGGGCCCGGTCGGTTAGCCGCACATGAAACTATGGCCGGGACTCTGAGGGACGGTCCTGGTTTAGTCTAAGATAGGCCTAGGCCGGTTCAGCCGGTTCAGCCTGGACTTGTTATATTATTCTTTTTTTTCCCTCATTTTTTTTTTAACCAGCTTAGCTCTACCCTGATAGGGCCGAGCACTGACCGGGGTATGGGCCTGTGCCGGCGCTCAAGGGGCTCAGTTGCGAGGCCTATAAACGACTGGTAGTAGAATAAAGAGGGCATTATTTTTTCTTTGTTAATTTATCAAAATAAACCTAACAAGTGAAGTTTTGAACTACATAAAAAAAAATTTATGAAGTTTTGAGCAATATAACATTTTACTTTAGATATATTTTGATAAATTTTGAAATTCATTTTGACATGTCATTTGATGGATAATTTGAAATTATCCAAAGAAAGATGGGTAGTTCAAATTTGATCAAAAAATATGTGCAAGATGTTAAATAGTTCAAGTTATATGTATAATTTGATAAAGGGAAAAGTTTATGTAAGGTTGCAACCTTAAAATGCAGAATCACAGATGCACCTCAAAAATCTATCGGAAATGCTGTTTTAATGTCAAAAAACCCTCTAATTGATCATCTCGACATGGAGATGTATGAATATTAAAAAAAAATTTAAGTCCCAAAAACAGTGCATCTTGCAACACATTATCTAAACCATCCATTTTCAAGATTTTAATATGTTTGTAGATCTACTTGATTTTAACTATTTTTAGAGCTTAAAATTTTCTAATTAAATATGAAAATAGTTTTTAAGATACTCCTAAAAAAAATTTACTTGTTATGATAAAATTTGGAGGAGCGCCTTAATTGGATTGTTTAAGGTTGCAACCTTATAGAAACTGCACCCTTTAATAAATGCCTCTCCTTTTTTTATGATTTCACCAACTCATGTATCTGATTATACCTATTCATGCATCAGAGTTGAGTTTTCAAGGCTCCAAGACTTTAAATAGATTTGGAATCACTTAAATCATTTTCCACATGGAGCTCAAAAAATTGAAAACATACAATCAAATCATTTACTTTTGAAGTCCGTAGTTGAGGATGTATCATTATTTGGACACAAAGTCCATAACAAAATTATTCGAATGTTGTGATAAACCTTCATTTATTGAATTTCATGGCTAAAAATGATTGTGACCTCGTACCAAAAATCAATTGTCTCATAGTATACCATCCCCAAAAACTAATGAAGATCTAACGATCATTAAATAATCGAAAGGAAGCCTCTAGAATACATGGAAGATTAAGCATTTTTAAGTCTAAACCATTTAGAGTTATACAAATTTCAGAGTCATGTCGTGGTGGTCGAGATGTTACACCTATATAATTTTGGTTACACTATTGTGTCGAGGCCATCGTAACGGACTTGAGCTTTTTAGATCAAAGCAAAAAACATGAACTCCTGTTGTTATGGTGTATATATGTCCAAAATGATAATATTTTCAAATCATATCTGAATTCAATTATAATGATAATGTTTCTTCCCAAAAAAAATTTCTTGCATTTATCGTTACATATGACAATCACATATTGGTAACCGCAACGGAGTCTTGCCGTGATTTCCATTTTATTATAGCATGCAGTATGCGACTTCAAGAGCATTCTGTCGATTTGCTCCCTAAGGTGAAAAAGCTACTTAGTAGGATTTTTTGTATTAAAAAATGTTGCGATCCACTTAAAAATCACTGAATAATTACTTAAGAAAAAAAATGGAATCTGAATTTGTAACATTAATTCAAACTATTGAAAAAGGAAAAAATATACAAAAAGACTATTTATTTTTAATACAATAATATTATAATTACTCTTATATATCAAATTTTAAATCATGTAGTTGCAAGTGTGTCATTGAATAGACTAAAAATTTTTAAAAAAATATTCTTGAACTTTATGTCATACTCCAAGCTGTCCAATTTGACGTCCAATGGATAGTAGCAATTATAGCTTTATTGTAACAAAGATTAATGGTCTCATAGTATACAATCCTATTAAAAAATAGTTTGCATTCAATTTTAGGAGGTTATTTTTCCATCTAGGGGTGGGAATCGAGTCACATCGACCTGTGGGTCGGTATATCGACCCGAACCAGGTTCAGGTCTAGGTCTAGGTATTGAACCTGAGGGGTGGGTCGGGGGTCCAAGTGACTTTGATATGACCTCGGTCGGGTCCCGGTCCGAG